GCACGCACACACACACTGCCTGTGGCACGCCGGCGAGCTCCTGATACACCCATAAACCTTGCCACTTTATGCAGAAATAAAAGATGCAAAAATATCACCAGTAGAGATGCACCCGGGTAGCTGCACAAAAACACAGAAGCATGCACTCATACTGAAAAACACACCGTGTTAGAGTTTGGACTACTGAACGGCTCAAGAGCTATCGTATTAATATTTCATATTTTAGATTATTTTATATTTTATATTAATATTAACACATGTACACTATTGCTTCAGTCTCTTGATGATCCTGTTGTGCTGCTGAATTAGATTAACTCCCACTGTTCACACATCTACAGGACAGGGGAACATCTGGATGAACGTCTGGTTCACTCTTATAACATGAGTCAGTTCAAGTGCTCGGCTCTCTTCCTGCTGCTTTCTGTTCATTTACTTCCTCTCCCGTTAGGGCATCCCAAAAACAGTGCCCCAGCTACTGAACCCAGAGAGAGGAAGTAAAAAGAGCAAGGCCAGAAATACATACCCAAATACAACCAACAACATAATTATTGGCACCCTTCAGGAGAATAGTGGCAGCGTTTCAGCTTCACAGCTCCAGGGTCCATGGTTCGAACCTGAGCTCATAGACAGGGTTACTGTTACTGTTACTGTAGAGTTTCTGTGCATGTGCTCCCCATGTCCATGTGGGTTTCCTACAACCTGCACGGTTTCCTCCCACCTCACAAAAAATGCTGGTATGTGGACTGGTGTGAAATACACACACAGTGTTCCTGACCAGAATAAAACCCTTACTGAAGATGGATGAATGAAATATAGCTGCAAATAACTATATGGTAGTACATTGAAGAGAGAGTTAACTTAGCTAGTTAAACAGGCCAAAGTTAACTCACTGCAAGAATATTAAGTTTAAAAGTTGAATGTAATGTAACTTCATGGCGCCTAGCACACAGGCATGTTGAAATATTATTAATTAAATGCTTTGACCTATTTCCTGCCAAAAGGTTAAGACTTGGCTGTAGGTGGATCTTTCGGTATGATTCATGAGTCAAACATGATATACAAAATTAAACAAGAACACAAAATAAGTGTTTTTGCAATGGTCATGTGAGTCTCTACATTTGAACCCCATTAAGAACTCAGGGTCTGAATTGAAGTGGGCAGTCCACACACACAGCTTAAAATGTTGTATGTGGAGGAGTGCAGGAGGATTGGTGCTGTTATTATCTCCTCATCAAATACTAAGTGTAAGGGTGAAACCAGTGTGTTGCAGGAAGATGCACTTCTTAAGACAACTGAATTTTGATAAAAGTATTAAAACAAAACTATTCCATGTCCCCATATACAGTATTTAAGCCTAAAATGTATTGTGTAGGTGTCCACACATATATAAAATGTTTTATCTATTTTATATATTTGCTCAATTTCATGAAAGGTGCCAATAATTATAAAGTTGACAAGTACGCCCCCCTATTCATTTGTCTCTGAACGGTTTCCCATCTGTGTCCTGATAACAAAACTGTTTCATGTAACTGGCAGGAACGGTTGTCTGTTGCCTGTCCTATGTGGTATTTACCCTGGTGTTGGAGTTCATCCAGGTCCATAAACTTGCTGGGTTTGGGATTGAAGCCCATGGCTGCCTCTCTCTCCTTTTCCTTCTTTCTCTGGAGCTCCTGCTGCCTTGCTCTGCGTGCCACCTCCTCCTGCAGCTCATCAAGTTCACTGCGGCCCTCCCCTGCACACACACGCACACACACACACACGCACATGAATGAATAAATATTGAGATTTCTAAGCAGTTAGGCACTAAATTCTGACATTCCAAGCACTTGATTCTGGCATTTGCTGCAGCTCACCCAGATTTACAGGGCTGCTGCTCCAGCTGGGTGATCGCACATCTTGCAAGATGGCACTGCTGCTCTTGGATTTTGGAACCGTTCTCCAAGATGGCCCTGAGGTCATCTGCCTTTTACTGCTGGCCTCCCTGAAGTGAGAACAAGGGGGTAGCCAGGAGTGAAACAAATGATGACCACGGTCTGACACTTTAGTGCATGTGAACAGACAGTATTATTGTTCTGTATTCATGCATTCAGGCATATCATCCATGTCACATTTAAAAACAATACAAAGCCAATACAAAAACAATACAAAGCCAACAATACAAAGTTGCTGGCCCATAGCCTGCCACTGGACACTGAAGGAGTTGTCCATATCACCATAGCAACCATAACAAAACAGTGCAAATTAAGAAGTATTGCAGATTTCTTGTTTATTTTACTAACATATGAATAATGTAAAGGTCCAACAAGTCCAACAACAATTGTCAAACATAGACTACATGGCCAGTTTTTGTTTCAGAATTGTGAAATCAGAAAGTGCCAGAATTTTAGTTTAATTATAGCTGTGCACAATATGAACAGTGCATTTCTTCAGTGCACTCATTTCTAACACTTTGGCCTTGCAGCTAGAAGAGAGAAATTAGAAGGTACAGAGTTGTGAACTGTATCCACATCCAAGATCCATGATAATTACCTGCCAAGCTTTCTAATTATTAATGAATCTCAGAAGTGCGGCTAAACAGCAGCTTATTTGACGTCAATATACTGAAGTTTTGAAAAGCTCTAAAGTAACATGACTATAATACCTGGGTGCACTGGTGATGAGGTTCTCATTGAGAGGCATGTCCATGCTGATGGGGCTGCTGCTGTTCCTCTCACTGCTCTCATAGCCGCTTTCCATCCTCTGGATTAACCTTGGTGGCTGAGCCACGCCGCGCGGAGCGGCCGGGACTGGAAGGTGCCCCATTCCTACATTAGACCCGCCTCCCACTATATCCATGGGCTGCGTCTCTGTGGAGTCAATGACATCTGCTCCCATTCCAGGGAAGGATTCGTTAGGTGCCTGAGGGATGGCGTCCTCGGGGAGTGGACTCGAGCCTAGCCGTTGCCTATCACGGCTGAAGATGCTGTCAATGTTCAGCGCTTCTCTCCTCGGCCTCCAGCATGGCCTGTAGCGTCCCCCGCTGGAGCTGGACTTGGACTCACTGCTGGTGCTCTCATCCTCCCAGTCCCTGGCATGTGGCCCAGCTTCAGATCCACCAGCACCCGAGCCCACTTTCTTATAATCGGGCAGTCGTCCTACGGAGGATGGCCGTGGTGGAGACTGAGGAGCTGCCTTTTCTTTCAGGATATCACCTAGACAAACAACATATTGTGTTCGGTCAAAATGATCCATTATTAAAAGTGGCCCAAATTCAGGTTTTGTAATTTTGTTATTATGTTCAGGTAATTTTGACTTGAAAGAAACAATGTGAAATAAAACAAAAAAAGGTGATTGGAATCTCTGTAACACTTCGACCACGTACAGCTCCTGTCAGGAGGATTCACAAGCAGGTGAATGGGCTGTGTTTATATTTCTATAAACTGTGCAAAGATATATTGGGTATTTTACAGCTGTAATACCATAAAATCAAAATAGATGGCCCAAGTAAATGGGACTGTCATAGCTAAGTAAACAGAACATGAGGGTTAAGAGGATGAGGTAATGTAGTAATTTTGTGCGTGTGTGCGTGTGTGTGTGTGTAGGTTAGAGGAATCATATTGTTACCTGCAGAGTCCATGCTGTTCTGTGAGCCGCTGCTGTCCTGATTGCACACCACAGTTCCCTGAGAATCTGAGGAAAAATGGGAGGCCATGGACTCGTGGTGCGAGCGTGAGTGCTTACAACTGTAACTGTCTGTGGAAGAGTCTGTGCGTGTGTCGCTGGAGATGGACGGCTCCCTCCCTGAAGATACAACAACCACAAGGACACTGATTTCAATGTAGGGGTGAGGGATACGGCAAGTAATATCCTATCACTATACTATATATTTTCACTATACAGTGGATATAAAACGTTTACACACCCCTGTTGAAATGGCAGATTTTTGTGATGTAAAAAAATAAAACCAAGATAAATCATGTCAGAACCTTTTTACCTTTATTGTGAAATTACAACCTATAAGTTAAAGTGAAAAACAATAAGAATCATTTTAGGGGAAAAATGAAAAATAAAAAAATGTATAATAACCTGTTTGCATAAGTGTGCACACCCCTAAACTAATACTCAGTTGAAGCACCTTTAGATTTTATCATGGCATTCAGTCTTTTAGGGTAAGAGTCAATCATTTTGGCACATCTTGACTTAGCAATATTTTGCCATTCTTCCTTGCAAAAGCATTCTACTTCTGTCAGAGTGGCTGGGAATCTTCTGTGCACAGCCCTCTTCAGGTCACCCCACAGATTTCCGAGTGGATTTAGATCTGGACTCTGGCTGGGCCATTCCAAAACCTTGATCTTGTTTTGGTGAAGCCATTCCTTTCCATTGATTTGGAGATGTGCTTTGGGTCGTTGTCATGCTGAAAGGTGAAATTTCTCTTCATCATTTTTAGCAGAAGCCTTCAGGTTTTGCACCAACATTGACTAGTATTTGGAGCTATTCATTATTCCCTCTATCCTGATTAAAGCTCAAATTCCAACTAAAGAAAAGCAGCCCCAAAGCATGATGCTGCCACCTCCATGCTTTGGGGTCAACCAGTACTTGCCAGAAATTGCTGCAATTCACTTAATGTTGATGTTGGACTCTTGGCAACCTCTCTCACCAGTTTTCTCCTAGTCTTCTCATCAATTATAGAGAGATTGATATTTTTCAACAATGAGATCCCATATCTGCTTTGTAAGCTCTTTGTGGTCCATAGCTTTTCCAGTTGGATGTTACCAAGAAGATGTCAGGAAAATCCTATAGGAACAGGTATACTTTATTTGGGGTAATCAGTCACTTTAATTGACAGCAGGTGTATACTCTTTTACTCCTTCTTTCAGCTGCTCCCGTTAGGGGTCGCCACAGCGGATCATTGGTCCGCATATTTGATTTGGCACAGTTTTTACACTGATGGATGCTGGCGGAACCATCCCCAATTTGATCCAGGCTCGGGACTGGCACTGGGAATGCATTTTCACGTGCAGTTCCCTGGCTGGGAATCGAACCCAGGCCACAGAGGTGAGAGCGCCGTGGCCTAACCCCTATTCCCCCAGGTAGGTGTATACTATTTAGTATTTAACATGAGTCTGAATGTGATTGGTTGATTCTGGACTCTGCCACATTCCCAATTATAAAAGGATGTGCACACTTATGCAAGCTGGGTATTTGAAGTTTTTTGTTTTTCTTTTTTTCCCTAAAACATTTCTGTTTGTTTGTCACTTGATTTTTATTGCAATTTCACAATAAAGGTGCAAAAGGTTCTGACATGGTTTCAATTAGTTTCATTTTTTACATAACAAAAACCTGCCATTACAAACCTGCCATTACCTGCCGTGTAGACTTTTTATATCCACTGTATGTCACTGTCACGATGCTTGATGTCTCACAATATTTAGACTTGCTAAGTGACAGCAAAAACATTTTATTTGATATCTGTTTATTTGATAACATTTAACATGATTGGCTGATAATTGCTAATGATTGGGTAATTGCATGAATGAGCAGTGGCACAGGTGTCCCTATTAAAGTAGCAAATGAGTGTTTAAGCACATACAACGAAATTCATGATTTAATATTCAGAATGGCCCAATGTTTAAAAAAATGAGTATTTGGAATTTATCAAGCATGAGCCACAGTCATAATGACATGAACATAAAAACTTGGTGTTGTTTAAAAAATGTTTCTGTTCAATCAACATCTTTTCCTCTATTCTCTCCTTCACACTTTTCATCTTCCTTTTTCTTTCTCTATCCTCACTCTTTCTTTCTCCTACCGGAGTCTTCGCTGTCATAGCCGGCCTTGCTGCAGTGGTGCAGCTCCAGCTGAGCAGCCGGCATGTCCTGTGATGCCACAGGCGTCCCACGGGGGTCAGCATAGAGCAGCAGCAGGGGCTGATAATGGCCCTTTATACATCGTGAAACCACGTCTTTCCACTTAGGCCCGATCTGTAATGGTCAAACACATACAACAGTCACAACACACACCATACATTAATTAACTTTTCCTTCATGACTGAAGGAGCTAAATGCCTGTTTAACTACAGCTGTTACCTCTTTGACATGGGCGTCATCGAAGTACATCCACTTGCGTATCTTGGTTTGGAAGAAAAATGTGGAGTAATGCTTGCCGTAGTAACACACCATGCCCACCAGGTAGAGCTCTGATTGCTTGGCCTGGTCATCCGTCACTCGGTAGAACAGCTATGGAGCACAGAAGAAGTGTGAGAAGCCTGGCTGCAAGAGCCAATCGAGCAGTCGACTTAAGTGGATGGTTTAGCATTAGGACGCATGGAGCCACCCACATGAACTGCAGAGAAAGACTAAATCATTATGGGGGATACTGACTCATCAGCACTGTGGGAGGGCGTCCTGACTTATACGCTTCACAGTGATAGCTTAATGCATACATTTCACACAACAATACAGCCATAAAAGTTGCATGATTGAAGTTGGGGTTGGGGATATCTACAGAGCTAAGGATTCAATTGGGTTTCAATTCAGTGTTCTATGAAGCGATTATAAATTGATATTCTCTGCATTTCAATGTTGATTTCTTCAGCCTACATCATTATTTATTTCCAGTATGATTACTTGCTGGTTTAAAAAGATCTTTTTCATCCGTCATGAAAAAAAAAAAATCTTACTCCATTCCTAGAGAGAATCAACTTCAGTCATTAAATATTTCATAATGTTCACATATTCAGAGAGACAAGTCCAGATTCGAATGTTTATGGTCCAATGTTCTACTGCTAGTCAATAAATCATGTTTCCAAAACGTTTTGCCTCAATGAATGTTATTTGATGTAGGAAAAGGGCTCTGAATAGATTCATATCATTTTGTCATACTTTACTTTTTATACAAGTTTTGAATATTCTAAAAATATTACATTAAATAAAATACAGAAAATGTTCTAGTAGTTAAAGTTCCTGTGGGTAAATGGATAAAAAACTAATGTAAATCATTACAGATAAATGTGTACTATGATAAAAATGATCCTGCTGTGTGATTTACTCTGTGATGTGGACACATAGTGCAGGCCTTCTTCTAATATATATGATATTATAGGCTAATTAATATTCTAACACTGGAATATGAAATCCTTCAAGTGATTTTAATGAACTTTGACAATCCTAGCCTATAATCATTTTCAGAAAGCATTTAATCAAAAATGTTTGGTACACCTGACAAAAAATGCATAATCCTCATTATTTCATCAATGCAGAATACATCAAGACATTTTTAGGATGCTTTCGGAAATCAGTTATTTTTTCAATCCCTAATTGAAGTCTAATAAATGTGGCAAGTAAACTTGTAAAGCAAGGTCCCTGCATAGTACACATCATAATATATCATCATCTCTTCAATGTCCATTGCAGTACAAGCATAATCGTGACTTTCATATGTCTTAGCTGAGCGCACGGTAGATGTGTGTGTGTCTTACATCCCCCAGACGCAAGCATGTGCCCAAGCTGTGGATGACATCCTCGGCCAGGTCCGAGTGGTCCGAGTCCCACACAAGGCCGATGCTGATGATCTCAGGAGAATTCATCAGGACACGGCGAATGCGTAACATTTCTCCACAGTTACTCTGAGAAACAGAGACAGACGAGCTACTGTTTGAGGGTGTAATGAAAAAGCATAGGTCGGCCCTGTCAATCTGTGTGCTTCAATGAGCGAGAAAAGGAGAAAAGAGATAGTCTTTGGAAAATGGCTACAAGTTCCAGAGAGGCCTTATGTTCAGCACCCAATGTTCTAGCAGTTTTCTTTGAGTCACTGCCCACCACTGAGCAGCTTGGCAGTGGAAATGCGGAAACAGGAGGAGAAAACCCTGGCGATCAGAGGCATGGCCAGCCTGACCCGTACCCACCCCAGCTCTGCTTTTGTGCAGTCGAGAGGGAGAAAAGCCAGCAGGCTGGCACAAGTCCAGGGTAGGATAGGGATTAAAACAAAGAGTGCGTTTCTCAGAGCTGGCCACAGAGCATCCTCTGCTTCGCTCTCTCTCTCTCTCTCTCTCTCACACACACACACACACATACACACACTCTCTCTCTCGCTCTCTCTCTCTCTCTCTATACAGACACACACATACCAGTGACTGACTAATAAGCTGCAGCAGTAGGCCAAACACAAACACCCAGTGTCCCATCAGCCAGCAGTCTTGCTGTGTGTTCTTAAGCCTGTCAAGTTGGGTGCCAGAGATCCACAAAAACAGTCTTCAGCTTCAATTCCTCACCACATCGCAGTTCAGCCAACTTGGGGGATCAATCCAAGACATGAGTACAAGCAGTAATTATAAGTGAAATTGAGCTGAATTCTGATCTCCTGATCCATATTAATCCAGCTGAGATTAGCACCAAGGAAACTAGTGATATACTCCTGACCAGAGAAACATGCTCTAATTTCATTTCTTCGTCGTGTCTGAAACACGCTGTCACTCACATGGATTAGAGAGCAAAAAGAGTGGCTTTAAGTGATAGGACAATATGGTCTCTTAAAACACGATACACTTTTCTGAGTATTGTGCGCATCATCAGGTGTCAGTGTTTTTTTCACATGCCAGTGCACAGTTTACATGTAATCCTATGTGAAGCAGCTACAAGGTTACGGAACGTGACTGCTTTTAAAAACGGCTCAAATGGTCACAGAGGATTTTCCAAAGTAAAAAAAAAATGCCAAGTGACATTACAAGAGCTTTTTTACCTCCGCACTAATCAGGTCTCCAGCTGAGGGACAAGTGAGAGAAACAAATATGGTGGTGCCGGTGAAAAGATTCTACCTTGTTAGTGAACAATTATGAGGAGATTTATGATATAATGAACTTAAAATATTCCATTGCCAATATTCCAACTTTGCAATGTAACTAAAAATAACTTTTTTGGGATATTCACTGGTTGAAAAAGGAGCTCTCCTTTGCTTGTTTCTCGGCCACTAAAGCTACAGTGAAGGCACAAGAGCCTCTTCATCTCCAATCTTTATTTAAAATTTATTACTGATATTTCATTTATATCAGTGTGTATACACACAGTATATATACATATGTATGTGTGTGTGCTCACCGGGCAGTTACGCAGGTCTCCCATGGTGCTCGCGTTGCGCAGAAGCTCCCCAAACATGTCTGGGGTCGGCTTCTCCCTGCACTCAAGCATTCGCACGGCCTGGTTACTGCAGCAGAGGAGCAAAGACACAAACATGTCCTCAAGCACCAGCTATACACCTGTGCAAAACCATTGCATTTGTGCAACAACAGGCAAGACATTCAAGATATTTCTGTGTACTGAGAAATCCTGTTCATTTAAACACATTTATAATGGAAACTGTAATCTTATCATTTATGTGAAACATCTATTTTTGTACAATGGCTTCATGAATTCATCATTCAAAGGTATTTGTAAATTAAGCTCCGAATCCATGTAATTCATGAATATACAGTATTTTCAGAGGGGGAAAATGTGTGGTTAGCTATTACCAATGTAGATGTGTGGAACATAGATGTCACAAAAGTGGTTTTCTTATAATAACTAGGATAACCTTCCATTGCAATCCAGTGTTGGAAAGTTTTGGAAACAGGTTTGTAAAACTTTCTCTGCTTTATCATGTAAGTAGATGTTTCTCTGCTTAAACATCTGCTTTATCCTAAGACCTTCACTGTTAGAGTGTAGAAACTTGTAGTTTTGAACTTGTGTTATGTAGTCATGCATTTATACATTTACTGACTTCCCCAACACTGTATTTGTTTGTCCATTTTAACTAAGTTTGGAGAAAACCAGCTTTCCATTCCTTTCTTTGTACAGAGAAATATATTGAATTTCTTCTCTGTGGCAATCGCTGCTATAGATAGTGTGGCAGCAGGGACGTGGTCGAGCGTCAGCTGCGGACGGAGAGGGGGCGGATCGAACCGGCAGGTAACAAGACACAAGTGAGAATCATCACACGTTACCTGCTGATTCGACCCGCCTCCTCTCCGTCTGCAGCTGACGCTCGACCACACCCCTGCTGCCACTTATAGACACTTCAAACATGACCATTAAAAATGTAACACAATGATTAGTATAAAAGC